AATTGTGTTTTTTAACCCCTTCATCCCTAGAGCCATCTAATTTGTTCCAAGAGACAGGTCTGGCAGAGGTCAAGGCTAAATCAGTACAGAATGGTCCAAAAAGATCTATTGTGTGTGAAAAGAGTTGATTAAAGATCCCAATTTGTTTATTAATCTTCAACATGAATAAGTGTTACAGGGGAAGATCTTTGTTCTCCTGAGAAAAGGGCAACGTACAAGGTAGTGACAGAAGCGACACGCATAGTTACAAAATGTGTTTTAAGTAAATGTCATATATATTTTTTTTTGAACAGATGATTATAATGGTCAAATGTTCAGCACAAAATACAGAATGAGAGAAATAAAAATAAGCATGTCAACAGTTCACATAAGAACAAAGATGAAAAAATAACAGTGAGGATGTGTGCGATGTTGTTTTTGAGTGAAAAGGAGGCAGAACATACATTCTGCACAGAGTCAAAAGAACTGACAATGAACGTCACATGAAGCAAACATAAGAAGTAAACCTGTGTGCAAAGTGGCAAAATGATCTATGAAAACAATGCCAAAGCAGAGCAACTATAAATATGAAAGCTTCTGCTGTGTTTGTGTCATGTTTTAGTCCTTAAAATACAAGGTTAAATCAGGTAGATCCCTCCTCCAAACAAACTTTTCATCCATGTTTTTCTAACATGTCATATGGATGTTTAAAGCCAGCTTCATTAATGCTGAGCGATTTGAATAAGTAATAACCGCTTAAGAAAAGATCACACAAAATTTTACGCAAAATGTCATAAAAAAAAAAAAAAACACTATTTGTGCCGTGGAAGTAATTAAAACCCTTGTTCCCACCACATCAGTTGCTCTTGGTTAGATTACGGGTTTTCGACATTTTACAGGGGGCTTCCCCTCTTTAAAGCTCAGAGATTTAGCTCGGTGTCTTCCTGAAAGCTGAAGTGAGGATGTGCGATCAAAAGAGCTGTCTGAGACCTCCAGAAAGAAGATTGTGGTTGCTTCTAAGAGGTTTCGAAGGGATTTAGAATCCATTAGAAAATCGCCTGCAAGTGGAAAGACATTCATAGCTGCAGCCATCAAGCTCAGGTCTGTTTGTTCCGGAAAATTCAAAAATGTCTGCAAAAACCAGAAAAGAACGGCGAAAGTTATTTCAACCACTAAGAGTGAGGTGAAACATTGAGTAAGGAAGGCGTTTCATTTTCCACAGAATATATTTTTGTTGATATAGTTTGCATTGTAAGTAAAACTAATTTACCTGGAATTAAATTATCTTATTGTCCATACATGTAAAATCATGATTTCTTTTGAAGGTAGTGACACTTAATGTTTTTTTTTTTCCCACATAGTTGTATTTGTACCACACAATTCTTCTGTAAATGGTGTTATTTATTCTCATAAAATGAAGGAAATATGAAGCACAAAGGGCACCTTTTATAATTAAACAAGCCCCTTTGTAATAATAAGTTCTCAAGGGGCATTATTACTCCCATAAAGACCAATCAGACTGACTGTCACCTTTCTTCCTGTTATTGTGTGCTCTTGCTCCCGGTGACGACATGGAGACCAAATAGATTTTAGTTTCTCCAGCTCATTATCTCGCCGCCAGGCTCGCAAATAGGTTTTAATTTAAGTGAGTCTGCAAGCAAATGACACTATGCAGAGATCCTTCCTACAAGTTTATTTTGGCTTTTTAAAAAAAAAAAAAAAAAAAAAGACAGCTCTAACTAGTCTTTTTCCAGAAACAACAGAGAGCTAATGTAAATGTAAAGCTGTACATCTGTTGATTTGAAAGTTATGTTGCTGAACAAAAATGCTGCACATAACGTTGGAGAAAACTCGCGGCTCCTCGAACGTTAACTCGGCAAACAGGATCGTCCCACACAGGCTGAAGCCGCCTCACCGCAGCCTCCCACGCTCACAGCAGCGCAGGCCTCGCTGTGGGAAGCTGCTGCACAGGAAGCCGTGTTTCTGAGCATCAGAGCGTGGAAGCTCTGTTCCTCTCAGACCAGGAGTCCTCTTCCTTTCTGCTGCTTGCTGCAGGTCAGAGAATGGACATCTTATTCTGAAAATCCACCTTCTAAAGGCTGACTAATGACTAATGTCGGACTAATATGAAATAAATCAGACATTGGAATCATTTCATCATAAAACAACACTGAGAATAATATATTGTATTAATCCCAGTGTTAGATGTTCAGTATACACCATTGTTATTATGACACTTGGTAAAAATGTGGAAACATGATTGCTGTAATATCACAAAAGCAAAATAAGGCAGAAAAGCTCTTCTGCTGGTCCAATATTTCTTCAAGTTTTCAGAAAGCCTTCACAAGTATTTCTTTGAATCAGCAACTTAATTTCTTTTTGTGTATAACGTTTTTATTCAAAGGCAAATTTGATGTTTTTGCTAAGCACCACTTTATTTTCATACATTCACTGTCATTCTGAGGATTTTTCAACTGATTATACTCAGAGAAGATCACTTTGACAGTTGAGGTATTTTCCTAAATTGCTAAATTATTGTAGCCAAAAAATATTTTATTTTTTAAATCACTAATCTATTCTTGCAGTGGCCAAATGGAAAATTAGACTGAGGTTAAAAGTTCTGACTTTTGGTTTGAATGAATGATTTGACATGTATTGCAATGTGTTTCTGATCTAGAAATATACCATAGAACAAAGGAAATTACTGCTTTCGATTGTATTTGCGCCCAATTCAGTCCACGATTGGGCAGAAAAAAGTTTCATGGTGCAATAAACTTAAAATAGACCATTAGCTAACCAGGAAGCACAAGAATGGATACCTGTCATATTCCTGTCACACGTTTTATTTACAAAAAAAGACCCTTAAAACCACAATGAGCATAAGGTGGGTGTTATAGAAAGTAATTTATTACACAAACCAAAGCTAGTTTACAAATACAGTTTCCAGTCATGTGCGTGTGTATAGTCTAGTATGAACAAACCCCCACATTTCATATTTACAGACTTTGCATACAGCGTGGTTTTCCTGTTTCTTTTGCTTACGTCATTGCTTCAGCATCCAAGAAAAAAAAAAAAAAAATCAGGATTTAAAAATCAAGAGTAAAATCTTTAAAAAAAAATCTACATTATGAGTCGAGCTGATTTATGCCCCCGAGCTCCTCCGTCTTTTCAGCCAGGTTTGTGTGCAAAACAAACAGGAGAGGAGAAAAAAAAAGAAGAAAAAAAAGCCAGCACTCGTGGCCCTGGCGATGCTCTAGACAGGCAGCCGAGAGGCCAGCCTTTCTCCGGACTGCCTAACAACAGCATTTGGCAGGGATGATTGACGGTTTCTTACAACCAAATGTAAATCATCAGAAAACTTCTGGTAAAGCGCCGAGAAAAAAAAAAATAAAATAAAACAACAACAAAGAAACTAAAGCAACAACACAAATAATTCCCAAAGACTTCCACCTCCTATTTTTTGTTTTTTTTTTAAATACTGATAGACGTGTTTATGACTTTTTTTAAAAAGCTGGAAATAAAATACAAATACAACACAAGACTGGTTTCTGGAACAGGCTCCACCCAGTAGGCCAGGAATAAGAACAGGAGGGTATAATGCTGCCAAGAGACCCTGAATCTGCCAGTTAAACATTACAAAATAAACTGTTTAATTAACCCAAATAAGAACTGGCCATACATATTTTAAGAAAAAGTCTTAAAAAATATTCCAAAATGAACAGCAGGAGGTTAATCCTTTCACTGCACAGCAACTTAAGATTACCTGCACAAAAATCCATCTGACCGACCAACCTGATGAGTGAGACGTTCCTGTGGAAAATCTTCCAGATAAATGTGTTTTTGTTTGCCCGCTCCACCGATGAAGCAGATGGAAGTAGTTTACTAGCAGAACTCGAATATGTAAATAACGGTCCATCAGAGGCCCCTTACTTCCTCTAAAAACATAATAATAATAAAAAAAGAATTGTCCCTACTGTGTGTTCAATCTCTTTCTTTACATGCCTAAACAAGGATTTCACTGTTCATCTCAAACAAGAGGATCAGTTTTTGTGCATGTAAACAGTATTACCCCCCCTCCCTCTCCTTGTTCTTTGTCCTGGTCTAAACGTCAGGGCAAGGTGAGCACCAGCGGTCAGCTAAGTGGAACAGGAAGGGATTGGAGCTGCTCAGGCCTCGCCATGCGGGGCAGAAAGCTACCTCTGCCGTCCAATGGGACGTCGATTCCTCTGCCACTTCCACTGATTCAGGCTGACTTGATTTAAATGGAAAAAGAGCATGCAAATGATCGCCGATCAAAGTGGATGCACCAGGAGCAGAGCAGAGCAGGCAAGTGTTTGGTTGCCTAGCGTGGCCACAACTAATCTTTTGGACGCTGCTAACAGAAGAAGCCGACAGCTTGACGACCAGATCTGGTGATGACTCGCTTTAAATGAGATTATCAAATTTGATCTACGATCAACGCTCTATATCAGGTGACCTGTGGATTATCTCAGCAAGACTAAATCTCGGCGCGTTTGTCTCTGGGAGTGTGTAAGCGCAGGATTAGATACAGCAAGAGGCAAAGAGGGGTGAGCATGTTGCCTCTGCTCATGTCCGATCTTGGAGACCATTTCCTAGCTCATGATGAACACTGGAAGGCTATTTGTGGGAGGATACAGTTAATAAGAGTTCACTGGTGTTTGCCTACTTTTGCAGAAGTTCAAGTAATCCATCAAGCAAAAACTAAGAGATGCTGCTCTGGTTTGGTGTCTGCTTCGTCATGGCAACCTTTGTGGTCCAACGGCAGCCTAAAGCATGCGGGAGGAATAGCTCCCCCCTCCCCTTGTGGCAAAAACAACTAAACTTCAGTCTTCCTTAAAACGAAGGTCTACCAGTCTGATTTTAACAGCGGACTGGGATTCCTCGATCATCTCAATCAGTGTCAGTGGCTTGCCGAAAAAGAGCAAATCTAACCAGCTGTCGGCTGGTAGCTGGTGTAAATCTCCCGCCCCAATGAAACGCACACAGGTGAAGAGCCTGAAGGTTTACAGCGGCAGTCATTTACTGTGCTCCTTCCTTCCTAAACCCGAGTCCCAGGGTAAATAGAGTCCAACAAACAGCCAGTTTACAGCGGTAGTCATGTACTGCAGTCTTTTCTTCCCCTTCCCTCCCCTCCCTCTCGTTCTAGTGATCCCTCTTTCCCCACTGAGCCCTATCCCCGGGTAGAACAGCCCAGGGTGAAAACAGTCCAAATATGTCTGCCGTTTTACAGCAGTGCACATCTATTGCTTTTCTTTCCGCGGCGGGCCTGCAGCGCCGCCCTGGTTGCCATCTCGAACACCTCCCGTACGCCATCCTTGGTCTTTGCAGAACATTCCATATAACCAAAGGCTGCGATGCGCCCGGCCATGTCCCGGCCTTCCTCCGACTTTACTGGTTCCTGTGGGATGAGGAGACAAATCAAGAGTCGGTTCAGCTTCACACGTTCATGATAGTTGACATTTATTTGATCCAGCCTCCCCTTTAGACAATTATTCACCACTATAGAATAACCAAGTCTGTGCACCGCAGCTCCCGAATAAAGACAGCAAAACCATCATCACTGACATCTTAATGAAAAAGATTTATCTAATGAAAACTTGATTCTTGTAAAAATAACATCGTGGTTTTTAAGCCGAATAATTTTTAGACAGTTTTAGTTCTATGGTCAAACTGTAGCATAATTTGACAGTCCAAATTATGGTGCAGTTCATATGAATAGGATAGTAAAGTAGAATGTACTTAAATATGTCAATAACGTACAATTAATAAAAATGTTTGTGATTTACCATTTGCTTATCTTTACCGAGTTTATTTGCAGTATAAGATTTTTAACTATTTTTGTCATCAATTGTGACACCCACAAACTTAATTTCATACGCCGTTTAGATATCGACACCTTCTGTTTGTGTGTAAATTCTTACCACCAGGCCAATTCAGATGTTTTGTAAATATCAATACACATAAATAGTTGAAATACCAACAGAGAGCCTTGTGGTACCCCAAAACAATGTTGAAATATTCAGAGAATGACCTAAATAATTTGAAATAAGCCATAAAAAGAGGCACCTGCTTCATCTTGGCCAGCTCTCGACGCGTGTGCTCATCATTACGTAGATCTTTCTTGTTTCCTACAAGGATTATAGGGACGTTGGGGCAGAAGTGCTTGACCTCTGGGGTCCATTTTTCAGGAATATTTTCTGTCATTTTAAAGAGAAAAGAAAAATAACTGGGTTACATAGTGTTTAATGTAGGAGGTGTATTGTAGAATTATGATTAACAACAAAAACTATATTTTTATATATATGCCTTTAATTTCAACAGCCATCTGATATTCTTAATTATCTAATTTGACCTTATAAAAATTATGGGATCATTATAACTTTAATGTGATTAGAAGATCTGGAAAAGAAACGATTGGAAAATGTGTGGCTATTTAAAAAATGTCAAATGTTCCTTTTCAAGAAGCTCTAAAACTAAAGTTGAATGTTTTCAATCTACAAACTGCTTTAAAGAAAATAGGCAAAACAGGAAAGTGTACTGCAAAAAACAGAAGCATTAAGTTTTTTTTTTTTTTTTTGGGGGGGGGGGGGGGGGGGGTAAAGGGTAAACACCTTGGTGGGTTTAACTCTTCCCCA